AAGTCGATGCAAGTGGAGAAATGCCCAACAGCACTAGGTGCAGGCAAGGTTGCAAACTAAATGCACTTCAGCACTGAGTAAAGGTCTCTTTGCAAAAGAGGGCCTAATTACCCTAAAAATTATACTGCCACAAGTTGCAAATGCTGCCTCAACAGTTGCTTGAAGAAAAGGTGGCGCAAATGCAAACAAAAAAGTTGTTGCCTCAAATAACTAAAGTCAAAACCGAAACGCTGAAGCCAAGAGTCACAAGCGAAACGCCTGAAGAAGTGACTCACAAGTGGCTGAACAGCAAAGTCGGTGGTAGGCCCATCAAAGTGCAGCTACCACAACAAATGGTAGGCCCATTCAAGTGCAGCTACCAAAGAAAATCTCCAGCTCAAAGTCTTGCTCTTCGAAGTGCCGAAGGAGGTGGTCCAAAGTACCTCACCAGAAGTGCTGGATCCACCAGGGAATCTGAGGGACCGTGAAGTTGAATCGGCTGGTCGCAAAAGTTGGCGCTGCACCAAAGTGTGGCCAACCCCCCCATAGCCTCCTGAAGTTTGGCCATGGTAAAGTGCGCCAAGATTCCAAAGTGACTCACCTGCAGGAGAAATCATTGTGAGCATCGAAGCAAGTCCAAGCGGATCGGTCACCGACACAGATGCCACCTTAAGCAGAAAGTCCAAGTAATGCCGGTTCCAAAGCCGGCCACCAGTTGACATCATCTGCAAAAAGTTGTTGTACCGCATACGAAAACCAAGTACAACAAAGTGGGCAATACCGTGCGCAAAGTCTCGGCCACGCTGATGATGATAATGCAAGTTCAACAGCAGAAAAAGTAGCGCAGAGCATGGAGAAAAGGCCAAATTCAGAGGTGGGTGACCTTCAAAGTCAGCTGTCCATGGAACATCTTCCGACAGCACCTGAAAGTAGCCACGAAGTGTAAACCTCTGCAGCATAGACACCCAAGTGGGCCCCGGAAACGCGACCCACATCGTGAAGGGCACAAAGTCAGGCTGCAAAGTCAGAAAAGGCCTGAAGTCAACGCCGCGTTGACGAAGTAGCATCTCTCCCACATGTAGATAAGTGCTCCTCTTCAAGAAGCGGGCCTCAAAGACCAAGTAAATCCCACTAAGTACATCTCCCATAAACATCCCAGGGAACAGAAGTGGAACCATTAAGTTTGCAGGCAGGTTGAAGTTGTCGTCAGAAGTCGCCAGCAAGTGTGCCACACGCACACACTCCTTTTGAGCTCCAGAGAAAAGTGTGCGCATATAGAAAGCGGGAGCCCAGATAACCAGAAGAAGCAGAAAAGTTCCAAGCAGGGTTTTGCTTGAAGTTATGCAAATCCGTCTGGAAAAGTTGCTCCTCATGATCGGCCATGGCTACTAAAGTAGCCTTGCTCAGCGAAGTACAATCGCACGAATCTCGTGCGTCTCACGAAACAATAATTGCTTGACAATGGCCGCTGTCAAGTCAAATGCCGCTGAAAGGGGCTGCAGCAGGATATCCAACGTGTCCTGCAAGTAAATCTCCACTCCTTTTCTGCACTTCTTCGGAAGTTCGCTCACCGCAAACTCGACGGCGTAGAAGAGGATGCGAAGTGCAACACTGATACCCGCAAAACCGTAAAGCGCAAGGTTCTTGAGAAGTGGGATCCACAGACCCCTGGAAATGACCAAAGTCACAAACACCTTCACAGGGTGATTAAGTAGAAGCTGCTTGAACTCCTAAAGTTTCTGCCCAACGTTCTGAAAGTTGAGCCTTTGAATCGGAAATGGATTCACCATCATAGAAAGTTTGGCTTCACCACTCAAAGTCTGCAGAATAATTGCAAGTCAGAAAACAGAAACCAAGTGCAGGGGCCATGGCGTGCATTACAGAAGTAGACCGCATGACGAATGCACATCAGCAAAAGTGGCAACCGGACATGCAAGTGCAGCTCAGGAAAGCAACCGAAGTATAGATCACAACCCTGAAGACCTCAAGTATATACACATGCAAGTGACTGACGTGACTGAAATACAAAATTTCTCGAGTTGGAAAACTGCAAAAGTTGGGTTCATGCAAAACGCTTCGCGTTTGGGGAACCTAAGTCTCGTTAAGGGTAAGAAAACAACTGCAAGTTTGGGCTCAAGGAAAACAGCATGTGTAAGGTTTGTGAACCATGTTCAAGTACTACCGACTTAGTTGGCACCACTTGGCCTACGGCCAAAAGTGGAAACATGCCTAGCCAAAGTTTCCTTGTTGACATACTTAGTAAGTATATCCGCGTTATTAAGGGTTCCTAAAAACCTTACGGATCGTGATCATGCCAGAAGTCACAAGCTCTTGGACCTTGGACAAACAAGTACCGGAGCTGCACATGACGGGTCTTACGCGAAGTCCCTTTCTAGATGCCGTGCTCTTACCGGCCGTGCTGTCCGTATGNNNATCAAGCAAGCCTCAAGCAAAAGCGACCGAATGAAAAGTGAGTCTGCCGCTCCTGCACCAATCGCGTAAAGCTCAGCCTCACCGCTGGAAAGTGCGATCGTCTGCTGCGTGCGGGAATGCGACTGCAGATTTACTCCCAAGAAGTAAGTAGCAATTCCCGAAGTGGAGCGCCTCGTGTCGGGATCACCGGCCCAATCACTGTCCAGATAAGTGTGACCTGAACATCCAACGAGGAATCCTTCTCCGAGCGGCGAAGTTTTGGACAAATCTCTTGCACGTAGCCCTTGGTACCACGCTTTGCCCAATGATCCGTGGTCGGCGCGGCAAGTCCGCGAGACAACTCCTCCACCTCACACATGATGTCCATACGCAAATTGCACAACCAAAGCAATTGACCAACAAGCTTGCGATACTGCTGCTCTTCTGGCGAAAGTGCCTTCGCAAGTTCGGCCTTGCCTTTCTTCAAGGCATCTGTGCCTGGAGTCGGCGCAGCCTTGCAAGTTTTCATGCTAGCCTGCTCAAGGATGCGATCAATGTACGAAGTTTCCATGAACATCTCAACGGAAGTGGAGGTTTGCCGCACGCGGCGTCCGAGGAAAGTGGCTTTTTGGCCCTCGGAAAGCTCTCCAGTCACACGAAGGAGAAGTTCCTTCTGAAGTGACGCAACCACGTCCGCAACGGCTTTCTTGTCACCAAAAAACATCAGGTCATCAACATAGCAAAAGATGTACACTGTACGCGAAGCGTTGTAGTACAAGTTAGGGTCACTTTTCACGCGCCTAAAACCTTGCGACTCAAGTGTTGCAGCGAGGCGCTGCTGCCAAAGTTTGGGCGCGTTCTTTAGACCATAAAGAGCACATTTAAGTTTCCACACAACACCTCCTTCTGGATAGTGCTCCACAGGCGGAAGTACCCAAACATCTCCTTCCATAAGCGCATGGAAGGAGATGTGTGGAAATGTCTGCCAAAGTCACACGCCAACCACGTGAGCAAAGTTTGCAACATCAACAAACTGGGTGTGGACGCGTAAGTTTCATCAGGATCGTCAACAACCTGATCATACCCACGCACAACAACGCGACAACGACAAGTTCCGTCAGACTTCCTCGTCTTGACCCAACGCATCGAGATCACAGTCTCAAGTTGCTCGGGCGTGAGGTCCGACATCTTGAACTCCTCAAAGACATCAAAGTTCAACATGCTCTTCATCTCCTTGTTCATGCCTT